AAAGTCTTTGTTTTCATGGTGGTCCTGGCTGGATTTTTCTTCCCCCTTCTTCCCTGCCATAGTAGTGTGGAAGGACAGAAATCCCTGGGTAAGCTGGAGGGTCTGAGGGTGGAAGATGAGAGGGGTGTTTGCAGCCATCGCCTTAAACATGGGCATCATCCCTTTGAGGGCATCATCCCCATAATTAAGTGCTTTTTCCACTTGGCAAGTGCAGCTGTTATTTTTTAGGCTGCCTTGCACCTTGGCCCTTGCTGGCCCACGGTGCTGTAGACATAAACACACGGTCCGTGTCGCAGGGTAGATGCACTATGAATAAACGAAAGTCGAAGTCTGGCGTATCTGTGGTGTGGTCGCCCAGGAAAACCCTTTGGTGCGATCCCAGCACTGGCTCCGTAAGCCCCGTCACGGAGCTGCCTGCACAGCAGCCTTCCTCCAGCAGACCCCTGGATTTAGCTGCGTGTTTCTGAGCAGGCAGGCTGTGACGGGGCTGAGTTCAGCGGAGCGGCCGGTGTGCCTTGCAGAGGCTTAGCTGCTCTGAGTCGCAGGGTACCGCAGCACGTATCCCAGCCTGCTGGTTTGGTCTCTGTTTATGAACGACAGGGACGAACGTCATGTGTTTGTTTATAATTTTCTGCTCAGAGTTGGCAGGGTGTGCCTTCCCTTCCACAGGCTCGGAGGCCTGAGCCATGTCAGGAGGTGGGATGTCCATCCTTTTCTTCTTTTACCTTACCTGTTTTAGGTGAGCAATTTAGGGCAGAGGTTCTGCCTTGCTGCTTATACCACACTGGAGAGCAAAGAAAAGGCACCGGGGGTAGTTCCTGGTCCCAGACTCTTGCTGGAAGCAAGGAACCTCTTTTCAGCCTGGGGTATCCCCAAAAATACATACAGCCTCTTCTTTGTATTGTAGGCAAGAGAAGTTCATTCCTTTTAAGCACCCAAGCATAGGGTTGAGCAGGAAAGCGAGCCCTGTGGACCCACAGCTCGGCAGCGCTGGGGACGAGACGGTGTCTCCGGTTTTTGCCGCTAATGCAGAGATGGAGTGTGAATTTGCATGTGAAACTGGCCCACGCTGATGAGGTCTGGTTTAATTTCTTGGCCAAGCCTTTCTCCTACAAACTCACAGTGTCCTGCAGAAGATGACACCTAATTTCTATGCTCCTTTGTGAAAAAGGAATGTATTCCCCCAGGCCTTATGGGGTTTTTTTAAGTGAAGGTGATGGCTTTTCCTCTCCCTTTATTCCCTTGCTTATTTTAGCAGTAGCGTTTGAGCAAATCATGACTTTTTTAATAGTTTGGGGTGTCTGAGGTTTTGGGTTTTAATGCCTGTTCTTTGCTGTTGCTGGACAATATTGAGCTGTAGCTCAGGTGGGGTTTTAAAGTGGTCAGACTCACTGATGGACAACTGAGAGCCTTTTCTACATGGTTTTGGGGAGGGTGCATGCAGCACCGCACCATCCAATTTATTTCAAGACAAGAAAGGTGGGGTTGTTTTTTATTTAGTTTGTGTTTTTTCTTAGCTGAGGTGGCCTAATGCACTGCTTCTTGGCTGCCAAAAAGGGAGTTTTGCTTGTCCTGCGCATCCTCAGAGCCTGCACTGCCACTGTGCTTCCTGCCTTGGCATCCTATTCCCCTCTTCCCCTGCCTCCCTAAATGCATCCCATCCCTCTGGAACCTGGTGGGAATGGCTAGTGGCTGGCAGGATGCTGACCAGGGAAGAGGGCGAGTGGGATATAGAGCACTCGTACCACAAATCTCACCCCATATATGCTCCCAGCCCCAAGAGTTTCCCAAGCTGGCTGTGGTTTGAAGGTGCAATGACCGTTTGCTGCTTTGTTCTCCATTTCTACCCTGTTTGAACTAAAAGAGGAACAACGTGGTATACACAGCCTAGCAGGTTGGCTTAGTGCCAGCTAAATCCACATTGAAGTCTCACTGTTGAGCCAGGCTTCAGCTATCCAACCAACACCAATATAAAAAGGGAGGTGAAAGGATGAGGCTAAAAAAGGCTAGGAAGGAAAAGGAAAATGCATAATGATTGCATTTCCTTTTGGGAAAGGGAACAGGAGGAGCTGTCCTCATTTCTCCTGACCTTCTCAGGTGGCTGTTATGGTGCTGGCTGCATTTATTACACTCGCTTGATGAAAATTAAGAGATGATGCATCTGTTGCAGGAAGCAATCATGCAAACGCCCTGAGCTTTGATGTTCCCCAGGACGCTTCATTTAGCAGCCAGGGCAAACAGCAGAGCCTGTTTCCCAGCCTGCGCCGCCAACTAACCCAAAGCAAACCAAAGCCTGCGTTTCGGGTGAGATGGCAGCTCCATCTTCTCCTGTCTCATCTGTTCCCAACCCACAGGGAATGATGACTTCTTGGTTGCCCTCCCTATAGCATCAAATGCTCTGCTGCTTCAGCTTTAGCAAAGAGGTATCTTGGAGGATACCCTGATGAAACTCATGCCCTCCTCGTGCAGGAAAACAGTCTGTAATTAAGAGCGGGGACATAAAATACTGCAAACTGGCACATCTCTACCTGTACGGGGGTGCTGCTGCCTTCCCCAAAACCCCTCCAGAAACTCAGTCATGCTGCTGTCTTGCCAAGGCTACAACATCCAGGATGATGGTGACCAGCTCTGGGGGCTCGCTGGGATGCCCCAAACCTTTTCAGCATCGCCTAGTGCCAATTCATTTATCAAGGCCATGTGGGCTGAGGGATTTGCTTTTCACTGCAAGGGAATTTAGGCAGAAGTGGCCAAGCAAGGGGATGTGGGCTGGGGTGAGCTAGCTGAACACGTAAATTGGGGATTAAAAAAACCCACCACTTTGCTGTATTTCAGCGGCTGAGTTTTTCAAGGATTAAAAATAAAGCTGCAGAGCAAGCAGCCACGCGTGTGAAATAGGGCACCTCTCAGCTCAGGGGCGTGGGTGGTCAATGCATCTTCCCACGGGCTCCCAGGCTGTGTTTGGGGGGAGGGACGGGACACGACAGACAACAACACATGAACAAAACCACAATTAAATGGAAAAAACCAAAACAACAAGCTTCTGCACAGAAGCACCTGCAGGAAAAGAAAGGGAGTGGTGATGGATCATCCCCACAACTGCTGACGGTCCTTGGCAAGGCAAGGCAGAAGATTTCACAATGGGGTGATGCAGGGAGGCAATTTTAGAGAAAGGGACATGTGAAAGCATGGGAAACCCCTGCACACTGCTAGCTCTGGCTCAGCAGCCCCCGTGTCCCCCCTGCAAGCCGTGGGGCAGCATTTCAAAGGATGCCATGGCACTGGCTGAACCTCCGCCCCCCTCCCTTTACCTCCTCCCATCCTTTCTCCCAGGGCAATTTGGATTCCCTTGCCTTGCAAACCAAGCGGCCGACATGCACCAGGACCCAGAGTTTCCTACGTAAAGGCCAAAATTCAGGTTTATTGTGGGCCCTGCACACCCGCCCTCCCGTTGCCTGTCATCCGCCGGACCCGCCATAATCCTGACCGCAGCGGTGGCTCCGTGCCCGGGCATCTCCTCGACAGTGGATGCTCTGCTGCAGACGTGCTTATAAATTAAGGATTTTTAATTTTTTTTTTTTTTCTTTTCTCCTCATCCGTGCTAGGAGTCATCGTAGAGAGGGTTGTTGTAGTTGCCCCAGGAGCTGTCATGGTCATCCAAAAGCCTGCCATAGGAGGAGTGCCTGCCAGGGGAAAGCAAACCACCTGGTGTTACCACTTGCTTTGGTGGATAATTAGTTATTTTACCATGCGGTGAGAAAAAAAAATAAATGCATGCAAGTGCTCACTAGGTCAAGCTTTGGGATCTTTTAGCAGGAAGAACCAGGACAGGAAAAAAGGCCAGGGAGGATTTTGCCCCTGTTGAACCAGACTGGGACATGGCAGGGAATTAAAACAAGGCCTTTGCTCATCTCAGTTGTCAGCAAAGCCTCATTACAGATGCTCAGCACTGGGCTGTGCTGCTGTTTATTGTCTAAGTCACGGCAAGACCCGTGGCAGCAGCTTGCCCTAGGGATAATTACTGGTTATGACTATGCCGAACAACATCCCTGGCATTTGAGTGAGGCTGTTGTAAAATGAGGAGGAAAAACTCTGCTTTTTCAATATAGATGTGGTAGAAAATGCAGCTATGCTGGGACTAGAGGCTGCCCATCGCCCTGCCAGGCTTGGGGCCAGCATCTCCCCAGGGCTTTGCCCCTGGGCATCACCCTTGTGATGGTGAGAGGGGATGCAGCCTCAGGGGAGGACACGGTTCAAGCACCCCAAAACCAGCCTTACCTGATCTTGAGGTACGCCGCTACCCCAAAAACCAGCACCACCACCATGATGACAGTCACGGTTATGGCCCCGATGCTCCCTGTGGAGGAAGCATGAGAAAGGGCAGCGCTCAGCCTCCCCGAGTCCCAGCCCCGTCGCCCTCACCCCAACTACTCCAAATACACCCATGCCAGCCATCTCTGGTGGCAGGGGACGTGATATTCCCCCACTGCTATTCCCCAAAGCTCCTGTAGAGGATGCTGGGCACCCCTATGCTTTTGCAAAGACCCCCTTCCCATAAAGGATTTGGGGTAAAACAGCTGGGTTTTGTGTGAGGACTACAGACTTGCTCCTTGATGCCCCTCCCAGCATTTAGTGCTGAGCCAAGGCTAGAAAATGCTCCAGATCCCTCCCTTTTCTGGCCTTATGAAGTGCTTTTAAGCTACCTGAGCTTGCAGAAGAGGCCAGGTGAAAGCTAGTGTCTGCTTAGTGAGGTCTCCAGGAGGGAGAAGAAAAACCTACATCTTCCTAACTCAGGCTGCACCGACCACACAGGCACTCGTTTCCTCTCATCCTTAAGTGTTTCAAGTCAAATTTGCAACTAAGGATTTTATTCACATCTCCAGGCAACTGAGGTTTGGTATCTATGACTCCTCATCTCCACTGGTGGAGCAGATGACATAGGCTCATCCAGGAAAGCTCAGCTTTTGCTGAATGGCCTTCTCAAACTTGACTGCCTTCTCCCTTCCAATTTGGGGGTTCTGCCCCTCTCAGACAAATACCTTGAGGTTGACACTATATCTAGATATGCACATGGAGAGGGGTGGTGCTCACCTGCGCTCAAGGCGCGCGGGACCTCTTCCATGGTGACTCCGGTGGAGAGGGTGGTTTTGCCGGTGGCCACAGCCTCGGGTACGGTGGGGCTTGTCACAGTCACTGGGGGGGACGTTGGCTCCACAGCCAGGCTGGATGCCACGGCCAGCGTCCCCAGGGAAGGGACCTCCTTGGTCAGCATCGGTGGCTGGGTTGTGCCAGGGCTCGTGAGGACATGTGCTGGGGACAAGACTGTCCCAGGGGATGAGTACAGGTCGCTGGTGGGGAGGGAGGAGGAGGAGGATGATGCAGGTATACCCGTGGGGCTGGAAGCTGCCCCCAAATCCATCGTGCCTCTTGCCAAGCTGGCAGTATTTGCTGTCCGAAGACCTGGGGCTGTCTCCAAGGTTGGTGGCACCGAGCTGGGGTTGGAAGCTACAGACAGGCTATCTGCTATGGTGGCGGTGGCCGCAGTGATGGAGTTCACTGTGACGGAGGCAGGAGCAGAGGACAGTGCCGCTACAGGGGTGGCATTGCGGCCATACCCCTCCGCCGGCCTGGAGGGCACCCCATCTCCAGCAGATCCCGTGGACATGGGCAGAGAGGGCTGGCCAGGAGCTGGGGTGGGGACAGCTGCATCCCTGGAGCCCAGCCCTTCTGGGATACCCTCTGAGGGGAGGGGAGGGCTGGCAGGGGTGAGGGGCGATGCCGTGGAGTCATCGCCCAGTCCTAGGAGTGAGACAAAGAAGTATGAATAGCAGGGACATCCTTGGGGCAACCTGGGGTTTGGGTGAACGCTAAAGGGTTTGGGAATGAAGCTGGAAATAGCTTAATTGTTTTGAAAATGCTGAGCACCATCTAAAATAAAGAGATGGCAAATATCCCTGCATAGCTAAAGGTGAGGTTTAAAGCAGACCAGTTGCCCTGGCATGGGCCAGCACCATTTTTCCCCCAAGGCTGGGATCCCCCCCATCCCCAAACACCCCCTCTGTCTTCCCAGCATCTCTTCCCAGCAGCCAGCAAAGCAGCAGGGGAGCAAGCTCCTCCTCAGCAGCCACCACTGCGCAGCTGGGAATGATAACACAAGACTCCTCTTTCTCCTCTCCCCCCATTTCCTTGTGCATTCATTCATTTGTCTCCATTTCTTAGCATGAAGATGAGTCATTTTTTCCTTTATCCCCACCAGCAGACTGCTGGGGCTCTTCCCC